AAAAATTTAGGAGCGAAAATCTCTTTATTTTATCTCTATATTTTCAAAATATTATCCATTAAATTCTATATACTACATAACGTTTGAACCAATTTTCGAAGAACTTTTTAAAGTCTGATTAAGGTGTCTCCAAAACATGCGTTCTGAGCGCATCAATAGTCTCTGCAGGTGTCGAACAACGTTGATCCCTTAGTTTATTTTTGACGTAAGTACCTAAGAAGAAGTCATTCGGTGCCAAATCAGAAGAATACAGTGGACAACTCATCATCAACCGGTGTTTTCAGAGTTCAAAAATGCACAAAATTTACTGTTCTGAGTTTTTTTTTTTTTTTTTGTTGACATGCCGAGTTTAAACAGGGAACAATTTGCTTAGAACTACTTCATGCGCGATCGTGGATTCGACTCATCTTAAAACAACAATGTAGTTGATTGCTGTATAGTTTCCCATTCTCATTTGAGCAATCGACAAACTGTGTGGGCTCCAAAGAGAACAAATATTTTGTACAGTTATATATCCTCCATGCGAAATTGAATTTATGCTGGACCCAGTAATATCTAATAGTTTGCGCATAACATCATTAGTTTATGGAATAACAATTGATATTGGATGACCTTCATGAAATTCGTCTTGGAGTAATGTACGATCTCATTTGAATTCTAAATACCATCGATAAACACAGCTTGAAAAAGATCGAATCAAATCAAGTTTATCAATTAATTGTTGCTGACCTAATTCATGTCGCATGTTGTAGATAATAATCGCGGGAAAATGTTTGCAATATGGTTCCATTTTTTGGCTGAAATAAATATTTTAAGTTATTGTAAACTACAAAAATCGTGCTCGTATGTCAAAACGTTCTGGATATGTATAACATCAAGAATGTTAAATTTTACAATAAAGCTGTGAGTTGCCAGGTTGCTACACCATATTGGCCAAATCCCGAAATATATAAGTCAACCTAAGTATGAAAATTAAAAGTATAGTATTAAGAGACCATTCTGTTTGACGGCGGTTTTTTTTAATTTTTTTCCGTATTTTTTATAGTGAAATGAAAAAACACATAAATTTTAACTATATATTTATTAGCTTCAATTGTTAATTTTTTTAAGTAAAAATGTATTATTGATTGCAAGAGTTATCGTTCCAATGGCACCCATGTAGAAAAAAGAAAAAAAATTCCGTTCAATATTTTTCAGAAATCTTATTTCTAGCGATAGCCGCATGTTGGATGAATCTAACATTGAAATTGTAAAGCAATCGATGGCATCGTTTTTGAGAAATCGTGGACACCATATTATAGAAATATAGTTTCGAGAAAAACATGTTTGAGAATTCAGGTGTAACTAAGACCTTACTATCTAACTTCTGCAACATCCCAACTACATTCAATTCCGGAAGTTCATTTTACCAGCACATTCTATGAATGCTCTAGATTGGATTTCTGCCAAAAAAGTAGGATTTTTGAAACCGCCACGCCCCGTGAGCCCCTTAATAAATGGCACTGATCCCACCATATTGCCTAACTCAATTTTCACAGCGAGTTTTGCTAAATAAATTCGTGTTATGCCAAATCTATCATTGACTGACTAAGCTGATAGACTTCATTAGTGAAAAAATTTATTATGTGCAAATCTAGCTCCGATTTAACTTGAATTGACTAGTTCGATTTCTCTTATAATTGACAATTACTCACTCTTTCATGCAGCAAAACTTTTGACGTTTACCCATTTAGAAAAAACTTGCAGTCAATTAATCGACATTTACACAACTTGAATTTCAACTCGTTCTTTCGAAGATCTGTGCTCAACTTTTCATAACAAATGAGCACCGAAAAGAAAGTTCTTACTTTTTTCAAAGTATTGCCCTTAAACGTAAACGGGTCTCACAGTAGGAACTTGCAGGAACGAGTTATGATATTCAGAAGCGATAAGTTCTCAAAATTTCTGAAAATGAAATATATTCTTACTCTCTCCAATCTTCGAAAAGTACCCATTTTCCGGACACAAATTAAAATTACATTTAATATTAAAATATTTATCTTTATTTCCTTTATTTTCGCGCTCATTTCGAGTGATAATGCTAGAAAGTGAGTAGCTATATTCAATAAAAAGACTCTACTAAAACATCTCAACTCAATTCTACGTTATCTGCAGTCAAGTCCATATCCGTTTGCTTACTACTTTTATACATTTAAGCGTTATCTTACCAATTTTTTAGATAAGAAGTATATATAGTTCTGCAAAGTACTACCAGAAATCTTCTTTGTATGAGAAAAAAACCTGCCAACAAGAACTGTCGACAAAAAGCTCATTGACAAACTTTCGCTATTATCATTACTTAAATCGATTGCTGTCATTAGGCAAATGATTTCCATTGTGCTGTCAGTGCCGACTACACTACACTGACCTCGAAAAGTAATACATAACAGTAACTCAAAGTAGAATGGCAAAAGTTTGTTGGAAGTATTTAAAGTCGAATTCAATGTAATGCCACGCATAATTACACTCACGTTCTAATTAGTTTTGCGGGCATTCAGCAACGAACAGCGCAAAGCCCTACGCATGACAACGGACTCAGCGCGGGAAAGTAACACCGAAGCCTTGTAAAGTCAAACGCAAAGACTCCCATGAAATAAATAAGCGCATGCAGACAAAAACATATATAACTCAAGTACACACACATGCGCACACATAAACACTAGGGGAAAAGTGTGCGAAAGAAAAGCGAAACTTCACCAAAGTGCAATTAAATAAGCGACAGCGCAGCCGCAACCGAGGCCGGCGGTGTTGTTGGCGGCTCATTAGCGCGTAAAAATGCCTTGAAAATGTACAAATTAAGCCTGCTAACAACAGTGACGGCCGACAGCACAAATAAAAATGTGTAAAATGTAAGAATGGTGGAATGGTGGGAGATGGGAGACGAGCCGATGCGCGTGAGAACAAAAGTGAAGTTGATAAACAGCAAACAACAGATGAAAGTAGAAACAGCAAATACAAAGGAAGCGCGTTGCTTTTCTTGTTTTTGCTGGTTTTGTTCTCCTGTATACAAAGAGGAATACCTATAGCGAAGAGATAGGCAAATAGGGACGCGCAAATTAGGCACCTTCACAAGGTGTTTCGCTACAAGGACAATGAAAGGAAAAGCGCCCACAGAGGCTTTTGACAAAGAAGCTTTAATATTATTTGTGTGTGTTCAAATGCAAAAGACTTAGTTTTGTTTTTCATATAAGCCTGTATTTGTTTACCCGTAACCCATATTCTTCATGACGCGCCATGCTCCGGAAGTGTCAACAGCAACTTTGCTTCAACACTTTCTCTTTGTAATATTTTCAGAATATTATATTTCTAACTGTTCCGCCTTTTTGTACGCTGAACAGGCTATATTATGTTTGCCACTTAAGGAGGTTTTGATTTTCCAGCTCTAAATGTTCATTAGGTCCTGATGTCTAAGTGGGGTATTTTGACTACTCTTAGTTTTTCGGAAAGATAGACTGAAGCCTCATTATACTAATTACAGAATGAAAGAAGTTCCTTTTTTTATCGGAGGGGTTATCTTCAAAGATATCTTAATTTTTTCGCACGATATGCACGATTCGTATTGGCCCCTAATGACACACCTCCTTTGGGACCACGCCCAGCGGGACTTGTGTCACAGTACCCCTACGTACTAAACCCTTAACTCCGCCGTCATTGCTTTTATTCAACCCACGTAACTGCCGTTAGGCATTACATCGTGGAACCAAACTTAGTCATTCGGCTCTTCAGTCACGCTGCTACTCTCTCCTCCTTAACTCTTGCTTAGCTATAGCTTCCCACGCTTTCACTTTGTCACAGACCACCTTCGATTCCATCACGTAAAGCACGACATTCTCCGGCGTCACTCATCGTTTATCACATTCTCTAATATCTCTTTTTCTTAATTTGGGCAGGAAAAGAAGATATGCAATGCGTTTTCTGCGCTGCTGCTACAGAAGGAGCAATTTGCTTCGTCATTGTGTCCATATTTGTATAGATATTCTCTATAACCAACATGGCCAATTAAAAATTGCGTAAGATAAAAAATAGTTTTTCCGAGTTTCCGTTCTACCCATATTCGTACGTTTCTAATAAATCTATGCGTCCATCTCCCCGTCGTTGCTTCATTCCATCATCCTGTCATTAGTTTAGTCTCCTTTGTCCTTCCTTTTTCCTCTCTTCTTTTGTTAAGCGAGTGTCATTGCTTTTCATTTTATCGAATACTCGTTTAATTTCCATGGTCATTATTATGTCTGGCAGCATTAGGCCTGAGATAACTCCAGCCACCTGATGTGATACGATTCGGTAGGCACATGCAACCCTGATTGCGTTCTGTCCAATTATTGTTCACGCCTTTTCTGCGTAGGTTTTCTGCTGCAGCGCTATCCCCCATATAGGTGCAGCATACATAAGTTTGGACTGATTTACTTTGACCAAAAGGGCTTGTCTATACTTTCTTGGTTCACGAAAACGAGCCATTATCCTTGTTAACGTTGCCGTCAGCTTAAAAGCTTTTTCACAATTTGTCTAGATGCGTCTTGTAACTAAAGCTTGAGTCTATGAAAACTCCTATATATCTCAATGATTACTGATCTGATTACTGAGGCACCGAATATTTGTTTCCTGCTAGTTAGTCTTAGCCGATTGGCTTGAGGTTCTCTATAAACTTAGTCCTAGTCAAGTCATATGATCTAGGTAATCATTTACATATAAATTTCCTTTAGCCAATTCAGTCAACTGAAATTATTCTTAATTCAATAATTAACTTAAGCTCAGTACGATTTGTAATTTCACGCTGGTGGAATCACACGATAGTTTCTTCAGAAGAAACAGCCAAAGGGTACTGAAAAACAAGATATCTGCGTTTTCTTTGACAACTTTTTTGGCCGATACTTTTCTAGGAATTTCTATACCTTGAAAACAAAACAAGAAATATGCCATTATGGTACTACTATACTGTTTATTATAAGAAATTAAAGCAAGTGTAAAGTGACACATTTATTATAAATTATCATTGTCATACAGATATAAAATATATCATTATATACATTTTGCTGGAAACAATTATTCCACTGTTACAATAAAAGTCGCTGCATTCTTAGATTTAATTCCACCAAGCTCCATACTAGCAAACAGTATTTAGTTCGTCTTGGGTTTGGTGGGCTGGACTAACATTTTAGAAATATTCTTATAGGGTACTTCGAAAAATAATGAAAAAATGGTGGAGAAGAAGAACAGTATGGTGCAAACGCTAATGTAATCGATTGCCTAAAAAATATTTAAAAAAAAAAATTGTTTAAATAAAAGAAAATAATCTGACGCATAAACAATAAAATTAGTACCAAGAACTCTTACTCACTAAATTATATGGACTGCTATAGCGACCAATATTATTCAAGCTTGCGAGCAGCCCCATGGGTACTGGATGTAAGAGGAACATTGCATATGTAATTTGATTGAATTTCTTGAAGAGTGGATTCTCCAACAATCCAAAGAACCACTTYACACTACCCGCCGCATTTGCGAATATCAGCAGACAAACACTTGATGAAAATATCACACGTTGAACGATCAGCATTGCCACATAGAAACCCACTGAGTAACCTTCTGAGATATTGGCAAAATTGATTGTAAAGAAACAAATGATCGCCGAACAGCCGAGATACTCCTGCAGCGACTGATTTTGAAAGAAATTCGCATACAGTTGCCTTTTTTGGTTCTGTACGAAAAACCAGCCAGCTAAACCGCCAATTACGTAGGCCAGCACACGTGACAACGAGTTCATATAGAGCTCCGTAAATAACGCCACTGTGGTCTCAAAGGAATACATATAATTCATTGTGATGCCGATATAGGAGCTGTAGATCAAATTTGCTACAACAGTAGCGAGTGTAAGAGCTTTGCCCGCTCTTGGGTGTCTGCAAAAGAGATACTCAAACAAATATATTAATATGTGTTGCGCGTGTGCACTCACTTCACATAGATGAAAAGTAGTATCGTACTGAAGATGTAAAATTGCATATCACACGCGGATGACCACGTCCAAAACAAGCACAAATCGTCGTGTTTGAAGAAATTTTGTATGAAGAGCGCACTGCGCCACCAATACTGCTCACAGTTCGCGTATAATTTGTGGCTAAAGTGGAAAACCGATATATCGTCCATAAGAAGCCAGCCAGCATCGGCCAGGCAGATGCTAATGAAGTACAAAGGACCCAGTCTGTTTGAAGTGGAGAGGGAAGAATCGAAACAAAAACAAGTAAAGCTGTTTCTTTCGGATTTTGTATATCTTGGATTAATAAATATTACAGGCTTTCGGTACTTACCGAATCAAACGATGCAATATATACGTAAATACCGTTTTCGCATTTTTCATGAATCCACCTCTTCGCATGGTTTTAATAGTTTTGGTGTTTCGGAAAAAGTGGTATGTTTGTAGGAAGCCACTGTAAATAATTATAAAAATTTGTAAATTGAATTGAAAAATCATAAAAAAAATTGTTCGCTAAAAAAAAAGGTGTTGGTATATGCTAAGACCTCTCATAAAAAACTTAAGTACCACCCAACCTCTATCACGATGTCGTTGCTCTTACCTCATTGTAAAAAATAAATCGACGAAAATATCGAAATTTCCAATATCACTCGTTAATTTGTAATGCGCGGCTTTATTACTTGATGCCAGGTAACTGCAACACAGTAGATGGAATAATACTACGACCATGGCGCCATAAAAACGTAAACCATTCACCGCGGGAAAAGCCTCTGTACCAATAGGAGCAGCAGATGCATCCTTAGGGAAAAGCAACTCCCAGTTGTTTTGAACATCAAAACAGACAATAAACTTATTATAAAACGATTGCGTACTCTTATGGCTCGTCGTTTTTAGATGATCGTTCGTAGA